ACGGTAACTGGGGAGTGATCTTTCCCTGTCCTTATCTCGACCCACGAGCCTTTCATTATATTTTCTCTCCCCTGCCCAGCTGAGGAGGGCAGTGATAGAGCGGCTTTGGTGGGCACCTGGCCTCCAGCCAGGGTTAACCCACCACAGCCATTTTTAAATAGTAGGTCCTTGCAAACTTGGCTTAGCTTGGGTGAATCAGAGACTGAGCAGTGACTGCAGATCTGAGTGGGGAGTAGTCATTATCTGGGAATGAAAAATCTCTTGAGCTGCAAATGTAAGATGAGTCTATTTCTAGATTGAAAAAGCAGCATTGTCTGTGTTTTGAGGACCAGTGACTATGACCTCCTTTCTAGGTGTTTCTTCCCCTCTCCTTCCCCAGGTCACAAACTGCCAATCACATCTGACCTCAGCCTGCCAATCCAAATATGGTGAAGAGGAAAACTAAACTGGTTAACTTCATATCAACAGGTTTCATGCTACATCTGTTAGTACCTGCCCCAGCAGGCATCAAGGTGCAAAACCATCACAAACCACATCCTCCAAGCGATGGGTAAATTATCAGGTCACCACAACTGGTCTTGACCAGCACTGATCTTCTGAATGATCTGGCACCGACCTGGCCCTGCACAAGCCTGGTGCTGCTGAGCGTGCAGCTCCACGTACCCCATCATGCTTCTCTCCTCTGATTATACCAGGGATAAATTCTTGTAAACTTAAATTTGTATTTCATGAGACCTGGAGTATGAGAATTGCGAGTGTTTTGTTAGCCACAAGAGGGAGTCCGTATTACTGGGAAAGAGGAGACGAAGCAATTTGAGGTCAAATCCTTCCTTCAGCCCAAACTGCCTTTTGCCTTTATTCAGACAAAACTACAATACATACCAATGGCCATGGTTGATGACCACGGGATTTCTGCAAGACTAGTGAAAGCAGAACTTGCGGCTTTTGTTAATGTTGAAAAAAAAAACTATTGAGCTGTGACAAACTATTGCTTTAGCTCTGTCTTCTGGCAGCAGCCAGTATTTCCCAGGGAAGCCAAAAAGAAATACTACTCTTTAATGTGTGTATCTAGATGTACAACTGTGTGTGCAGGGAACGAAACCCCTAAAGCCTGCTGCTATACCACCTGCATCTTTTCCTAAATATGAGGCTAATATTGCAAATGCGTTATTTGAAGCATTTGGTATTCCCTATCTGTTTCTCCTCAACTTTGGCGCAATGACAGTTCTACGCAGGAAGACTAACTGAGGAAACTGTATGTGTACAAATGGTAAGAGTCAGCCAGCCAGCAGCAGAAATAAAACCAAGGATTGTATTGCACGCAGGCAGTTAAACAAAATTATTACCAGCAGGTGCTGTATACAGTACCTGAGAATTGTTCTTTAGTGAGCAAGTTCAAGACAGTGCCTGAACGTTTTGATGATTTTGGAGAATAAGCGAATCAACAGGATAAAACCTGATTGCACGAGGTGCTTACAAAACTCGACTGCAGACAGCAGCAGTCTTTCCAGGGGCCTCACTGGGTTTGGGTTCAGCCCACAGTTCACATCGGAAAAGACAAGAGCATGAACAGCGTGTGCTGACTGTGTACGGTGCCCAGGGCTCCGGTAAGATGAGGGAGAGTGCAAGGAGGTATCCTCTAGGACTAAAGCAGCTGTGATCGTGAAGGTGTACATTAGCACATCCATGCCCTTCTCACATGATTTATAGCATGCAGTTGCAAAAGCAGAGCTAAATGGGGGCTGTAGATTTGTGGCCCCTGTTAAATCCATCTGTGACATCTAGAAACGCTATAAAGTCCATATTCATATGACAACAATCCCCCTTCTTTCCAAAACCAGCCAGCTATTTCAATTTGAAATATGGCACTCCAAAATGTAGTAAATAGTCACACTAACAACTGCAGTAGAACAGGTTGCTATTTTAAAAAAAAAATGAAAATATTGTCACAGATGGAACTTAATGGCTCTGATATAAAAAAGTAAAAATATGAGGAAATGTCCATGAGTTTACTAAAAGCAGAGCTTTTTAAACAAATGCGCATGTTGGTATAAGATTAAAAGGGCAAGAACAGATTATGGACAAATTTATGAGGAGATTAGAAGATTTTTAACCAAGGCAGCGAGGTTCCCAGGGTGGGAGTAGTGGCAACAAAAGTCCTAACTGACTATAGGACACAGCTTGCTCAGATCATAAGCTTGCTTGAGTTTCTGCAGTTCTCTGTTCCTACTCCTTTTCTTTGATTAAGTGCACCAAAGATGTCACGCGACGCAACATCCAAGGCCTACATTAATGATGAAAGAGCGCGGGATGAAAGATACGGGGTTCTCTGATGTGTCCTAAAGGCACCCACTTTATCAGAAAGTGCCAGCGACAGAAGCGGTTGGTTACAGGACAAACTGCACTGAGCTCAGCAGGATCAGAAACGAGGAATCTCAGGTTGTATTCCCAGAAAAGCACCTACGTTTAATTCCCTGTTCAGGAACCTCCTGAACATTTCAGGTGTACGTAAACAAGCATACTTTTCCTTTTTCAGTGCTCTCTGTCTTGGATAAATTTGTCTTTTAAATAAAATAAAACAAAAAAGGGTCCTGCTAGACAGAAGTCATTTCATCTGAAAGAAAGTGAGCTCACAGCCGTGAAGCTATTAAACACTGTTGAATTAAGAATAGCACAAAATGTTATGCCTTGTAAAAACAACCTTTTTAGAAAGCTTATGAACATGGGTTTGTGATTTTTTTTAAAAAGTGTCCTTGAAAGAACTGCTTAAACAAATTATTCCCAGGTCAGATTCAGACTGTGTTGTGAATGAAAACATACATGACATTGGCTGGAAACTTAGTCACACAAAAGTGTTTTTTACATTTTCAGCATCCCAATTTGAATGAAACAAGCAAAAGTAATAAAGGTTATTAGGCTTCAAAATAATTTCAGATTTAAATATGTGTGCTTTTAGAAACATGTACATGGTTTTGCAAAAGCTTCAGGAGCTTTTTAATTTTATTTGTAAAAGAACCCCCCTTCCCTTCACTAAACCCACCTATGTGTTTAATGTAAAGCACGCACTTAAATCTCTGCACGCTCAGGCCCCATGATTTCCCTTCAAATGCTGCAAGTCAGCTTTTTCATACAGCACCGGACATCTGAGGCCAAGAGAAGTCCACATGCAAGCAAACTATGAACAGCTTTGTTTTTATCAGCTCAATGTCACAAAAACGAGAGGTGGCAATTGTCTTTTTGAAGACAAGACCACGATGGTTCTGTCACCTGGCTGAGTTGTGGGGCAGCCCCATGGCGCTCAGCCCAGGGTAGTGGAAATGTCTGCCAGAGGCTTACTGAGGACACAAAATAGAGTGGCTGGTGCCACAGAAGTGATGGCTGGGTGCCTGCTGAGAAAACCTGGCTGCCCTGGATCCTGTCCTGAGGGGCTGGGTGTCCCCAGTACCCGCAGGGGGGCCCAGGGCACTCCCTATTTCATACTCCGCCTTTCCCTGCGGCGAAGGGGATCAGAAAATCAGTTCTCAGCCCTAATATGCTATTGCAGACCTGGGCACAGGGAATCCTCTTCTGCAGCAGAGGAGCGGTGGGCTGCTCGGGGTGTTACAGCACTACCTGCTGCGATGGGCTGAGCAGAGATCACCACCACTGGGTGACGGTTTTGTCTGGGACTGCTGTGCTGGCACTGTGATCCATCTGTACTTCTCCGTGCAAACTGTCTATGCTCATCGCGAAGTCTTACCCACATGCTAAAAACATCTGTTTTGGATAACCCCAAGATATTTCTCAAGGCTTTTCTAACATCTTTGCCCATCCTATAAATCTGTGCTGAACCTTCTCCTCTTCCTCCCTCCTGTGTAGTTTTGGTTACATGAATGCAGTGCCACATGTTACAGCATTTTTGGCAGATTGGCTTTGTAGTGAATTGCCTTCACCTCCATGTACTCAAACCTGTCAGAATCCAGCTTTTATTTTAGATGGCTTTAAGGAAGTTGCAAAATGCATTTATGATTGAGTTTTGACCTAGGATTAGTATTACTTACACTGGTTCTGCAGGCAGTTTCCTTAAAAAGCCACCACTCGGGCACCGACAGTTGCTGTCTGAGTTTGTACATTTTGCTACAAAACTGAGATCTTACTCCCCTGATTTCTCTCTGCCACTGCAAACCTAGGGGACACGGCCGGGTGGAGGTTAGAGACAGCTCTCTTCTGTTCACTTTACACACCTGATTCACGACCGAGACCACTACTCACCCCAGCTGAGGGTACCGCGCCATGACGTAGCTGTAGCATCTTCCCAGGATGACTTCTTGCAGATTCTTAGTGGTCCCTCTGTCCTTCCACTTCAGCATTTTGGGACTGACCTCTTGCTTTCCGCGAGTCAGGACAGAGGCCAGCACGACGGCGAGGACGAGGGCGGCCAGCAGGACCACGATTCCCACCAGAAGGACGGTGCGCTGCCGCGTCCGGGCAGAGCCCTGCTGGAAAGGCATCCTGCGAGGACTTGGTGAGGAGCAGCAGCAACTGCTCTCCCAGCGCAAAGGGAAAATAGCTTTCTAGCGTGTCACCGTGCGCCTCCCCCCCGGCCCCGGGCTCAGCCCC